TTTTAGGAATCACCCCATACTTACACATTTAGATATTCAAAATTTTTTAAACAAATCGATATTTTCTTTCATTTTTTTATTTACTTAGGAATCACCTTGTATATTCAAAGACAACCAGTTAAAGAATAAATTCGAAAATCTAACTTTGAAGTGTACAAAACTGTTAAATATATTACGCAGCAATTATAGAGTATATTTACTCTCGATACACCTTATTAAAAATTTTTTTATTAAAACTGTTGTTAAAAAATTTTAACAAAATTGGATTTGAAAGTAAAATCACAATAATGTACGTATACTATTAACATATAGTTAATAATATTGGGGCGGCAGCAGAATGAGACCTAGGCTATTGGTACAAGAACGCTATTTATTCAGATTGTAGATACAATAAAAAAATCTCTTATGTAGTTTAATATTTGGTCTGGACCGTATAGACAATCTAATGTGCGAATATCTTATCAACTTGAAAAAGAAAACCGGTCCACAGAAAACATGCGTATCTAACGAACGAACAAAGAATTATTATTGAGACAAGAAAGACGTAACAAACTCTCGATTATACAGATATAGATCGATCATCGATAGATCGGCAAGAGCGGGAAATTGAATTCCCAACAAATAAAACTATATTAAAACTATATATAAACATATAGCTAATGAAATGTAAAACAATATTTGTGAACAACGTACGAAAAAAATAAGCGTATAAGTGTTGAAATAATAATAATATTTATCAAAAACTATACATCCCAAAAAGCATTTTCCAGTACCAAATATGTAAGAAAATAATATATTATTTCTACAAAAATACACAATTACAAGAAGAATTCTAGGAAAGTTATTCTTAACATACTAATTATATTTTTCTTAACTTCGACATTTTAAATTTTGAAAAAATAAACAAAGCAGTTTAAGACATATGCTCATAATTATTTCTAAAATAAAAATTCTGTAAACCAATTGTTGTAAAGCATACAATTTCAAAATTATCGTTTAATATTTCAAATAATCAAATAACAAATGACCATTATGGTATAAAACAAGTTTATACCATAAATACAATTACATTTATAAAAATCAATGTTCGTCTGTACATTTAAAATGTGCCCAACTGCTATTGTCCGGTACTAAACAAGTTTCACCTTTCTTCATGATTTAAAAATCACTCTATAATGCTATGCTTTTCAATTGTCTTATAACTGTATAATAGTGTATATACGTAATTTATTTAATGTCAAAATAAAATAAGTATACAAATAATAATTTATTAACTCACCAGGCAACATAAATATTTAACATGCAGTCAATACTTACATTTCAATCTATCAACAGCTTCTAACTGACTGGACAAAAAATGCAAAACCACGTATCACAAGACTGTTGTGTTTAAATGATATCGTCAGCAATTTAAGCGTTGCCACTTATCGACAGTACTTACTATTGCCACCGTCTGATACACAGAAGAATACGCCCGGGCAAGTCTTGTCTATCTATATTATAGATTTGAAATACATCCTTTAGAAAAATTTGATACCGTATCTAAGTATTAGATAAATTGATTAAGTATAAGACTAAGTATAAGATTAAATTGATTAATGATTAATCACTATTGTGAATACTCAAAATAAACAATTAATCACTAAACAATGTAATACTTAAAGTATTAACAATTTATATCTATTACGACTGTATAAATGTTTCACACATAACGAGGAGAAGGCCAATGCACGGTCATAGCAGGATTTTGTTGCTTCTATTATTTTTTCTTGTGTGATTTTAGATCAGAGACTGAAAAGTTATTTTTTAAAAACAACTTTTATAGTTATCATTACTCGTTATAGTCGTTATAGTCGAATTAAAAACTAGTTACCGTTACTTAAAAAGTAATGATTCGTTACTTTTCCGTTACTTTTTTAATGCTAAAACAAGATCCGTCTAAATGCTGATATTATATTTTTCACAATAAATTTTTTAAAATATTTTATAATGCATATAACGTGAAAATATCTTATTAAATTACTTGTCAATTTAATTTGTGATATTGATTGACTTATATGGCATTCTTAAGATATCATAAACCAATCATAGAGATATATTAATATTTTAAGACATTATTTAAAACAGTCTTAAAATAAAAATAAACTATGCGAATACTAACTAATGACTGAAGAATGAATATACATTGTCATACTTTGTCATTGAAAACTTTGTCATAAATACAAAAAGTTCAAAATACAAAAAAGTAATAATAAAAGTAACTGTATAATTCGTTACCGTTATCAGAAAAAATAGAATAACGCATTACCAATCCGTTACCAAAAAGACGTAACTATAACGATAACGACGTTACAAGTAACGAGTTACTTCCAATCCCAGGATTTTACATACGTATATATCCTAGCTTCGACGAAACTGCGCGCCGTTACTTCCGGATTTTACGCAACCCATAATTGAAACAGGACCGTATTAAATTGCTAATCAATTTAATAAGTACATGATGTTCACTTGCATCTAATAAATCCCCTCTCCTCCGCGACGTCAAATAAATGTTAGCCTACATCTATACGAACCATTCTCAAATTAAAGTATTAAATTTTTCTAAGGAATATGATACATTTTCACACTATATAATATATTATTATGTTAAGAAATAAGAGCAATTACTTGAGTGTGAATAATGATCGCGACAAAAAAAAATAAAATTTTGGTTTGAATTTTTAAAGGTCGCAAAATTCTCACAATAGTATGGTGCAAATGAATCAAGTAATATATATTTCGAAGTTAATTAGAAACAAAATTTCTCTGATGAATCAAAATAACAACACTTTTGAAACTAAATATTTTTAATCTTGTAAGCTTAATTACACAACAGATATCTTCAAATATAATGCATTTTGTGTCGTGATTGACACTATAATTTATTGAGAATCCACGAACTATAGAATGAAAAGAATACTTATTTGTTTTCTTTATTAAACTTTTACTTTAACACTTGCATACAATTGAATTTAATCGCTGATAAACGTTGACACGCAGGTAATCGAATGATCTTTACTCGATTAATGACCCGTTTCTTCTTTCCGTTTTCATTCTTTTGGTTCGTGATTTGTAAATCACAGGGAAGAAGAGAAATCTCATAACAAATTTACAAGGAAAGAACAATTTTGTTGAAAGGATTAAAAATTTTGCTAAATACAGATCTGAAAATAATTTTTTATTGAATCATCAAAATAATTTGTTAGAATATCAAAACTGATAAGCATTGCTATAAAAGTTTTGATACTTAATTTAGCAATTATTTTGACTTTTGCACAAAATTATTTTGATTATTAAACAAAAATTATTTTCAAATCTGGATTCAGCAAAATTGTTCTTTCCGTGTACACGTTTAATAAACTTTATTTAAAAATCTAATGCGATCAGACATTGCATAAGTAAAAAGTTTCGGATCTTGCTCAATCTCTCGTCTGTACTGCATTCTTACTTATTTCGCTATACTCGTTCGTTTTGACGTGCGATGCGCGTATACAAACTGATCGCAGAACTCTCAAATGCTTTGAAAACGCACACATTAATGGCAACCGTTAATACTTTTATGCATTCACGGATTCAATGTATCCTATATATATATATATTGAATAATTCAAAACAAAATTATCCACACAATGTTCTTTAGAAACTTGCAATACAATCTTCTGCTTTGTAAAGTTTTTTTTGCTTTTACGTTTATTATTGCATCTTGCATATTTAATTAAATTTTACAATTTACTTTTCTATAAAAAATTTCAATATATCAAGAAAATTTAAGTGATAAGAGAAGAAAAAAGCTAACAATATTGTTAGCAATAAAGCTAGCACTTGATGAAAAATATACAACATACTAAAACAAATATTCGCAAATCATTAAAAAAATCTAACAATAATGCATGTAGTGATTGTCTCAAGATATCTCAAAGTTAATTAAAGATGATAAAAGTGTTGTGTGACAACAATGAGTAAAAACCAAATACAATATGCTGGAACGAATATTTAAATATCTTAAAAAAAATCTCACAATAATATAGCAAAAATCTCAAGTCGCGTTGACAGAAAATTGACGTCGACAGAAAATGAACAACTTTTCGGTAAAGCATTTTTCAAAATTCTAAATTTTTTTAAACTTATTTATCAATTTACTTTTTAATGGAAATGGCATAACTAATTCAAATAGAACGTTTTCTTATAACTTTTTCAGCACAAAATTTTTTCACAGTAACTCAAAGAAGTTTTCTATAAACATTGCAAAGATAAAAGAACAAGCGACTTCTGTCCTCAGACACGTCTGTCCTCCGTGAAAGCTATAAGTCTGTTTTTTTTTCCAAAAGAAAATTACTTTTGAGGATGAATTTTTTATTATCTAAACTCAAAAATGCTAATCGCGATTGTGTCACTTTTTTACGCGACGATATCTCGAGATTAATTAAAAATAATGAAAATGTTGCTGCAATGATCAAAAATATACAATATATACTGCGACAAACATTCAAATGTACCGAAGGTCTCAACAATAATGCTGCAAATAGTGCAAATACCGTAAATAACATAACAAGATCAATTAAAGGTACAAATATAAACTAAAAAATCTATCACTACAGTAATAAAAAATTAAAAATCTAATCGTAATGTTTTTAAATTATTAATCAATTATTCTTAATTAAGTAATAAATGATGTACAATTTACGTTTAGAAAAATTTGGATCGTTTTTTTCTTACCATCATATAGAAGAGTGCGTATCATGTTTTACGTAGATTTTAACAATAAATGTTATGAATGTGTAAATAAAAGAGGACAAAATGCATCCGTTAGTAATAGTTATAGTGACAGAAGATTACTAAAATTTATAAACAGAAATTTATTGGTTATACGCAAGAGATCATCTTTCTAAAATCTATTAGAATTTGAGCGTGTTATAGGATTTGAGGAGCAGAATATTATTTATACAATTATATTCACATCGTACAGTTGATAAAAAGTAATTTATTCATGTATAATATGTTGTTTACAAGTTGTTGCTCGAATCAAACAATTGTAACAGCGAAGTGTGTTTGCCTCCAGTACATATATTTAATTATAATTAATGTACAAATTGATAAATTAAATTATTGAAATTATTGACTGCAATTATACAAATCGATTGTTCAACGATCATTAAATTCTTTTGTAAACTGTTTGAGTCATTTTTGTTGGCAGATGTTACGTAAGTTTTTCAATGTACGAGAGATACTCTTTGATCGATATAACATCACACGCGATGGTTGGAAATGTTCACGGAATTATATAAAAAAGTAAAAAGTTGATTTCAGCTAATATCAGCTATATACGTTTTAATTGAAAATAGAAATCTACCCAAATGTCCATTAAGTTTATTGCTTCTATTTACAGCTCCGCGATCTATTTATTTCTCGAGCAATGTAATTTCAAAAGTGAAAAAGTGCTTTTTATTTCTTTCGCAGTGCTTCGCGTGTCCTCGTCTCGCATATATCATTCGCTTACTCTCCTTTTATACATATTACATTAATATATTCATATTTAATTTACAGATCTTCATATTCCACATTTATTGACCAGATGCGCTTTTACAATCTCACGAGAACGACAATTATCGCTTAGATAAAAAATCGTATATGCACTTCTATATATTCTAAACCATATCACATATTGTTCAGTCGCTAAGTGTAGTTCTTCAACTTCGGCCTCGGCTCGGTACAACTGTCTATGTATATACGGAAACATAAATTACGCCGATAACATCCTCGTTGCGCGTCCTCACTAATTCTTCTCTCCACACACATTCGTCTCAATCGTATGCACGCGAGAGACTGTCTATACGGATGCGCTTACACGTGTATTGCAGACTATAATAATATCGAAACGTCGCGCGCGCGAAATGTAGTCCTGCAAGCGAATTAGTCGGTCGATCGCGAAAGGAACTTTAACTTTTGCCAATTTTTTTTTTTTTTAATTTTTCCCAACACACCGGAAAATCGACCGTTTCATCCGTTTCGTGTTCACTTGCAGTCGTTCGGTTCGCACCTGCGTCCATTCAGTCTCAATTCCAGCCGCTGAGCATCTTCTTCTTTAATCGACCAGTCACGTGTTTTTCCCCGCTGTTGTGCTCTCTGTTCTGCTTCTCTTTTAACTGCCCTCAATTACTTCATTCACGGCGCGCGCCGCGCGACACATATCGTCGTCGCCGCGACGGCACTTGCGACGATTCTGACGAGATGCTATTTCACGCACACGGTCCCGCACAGTCGCCTTTTCTACGCGCCCGCATTTTCCGCGCGCGCTCGCCGTGGAGAGCCGTCCTCCTTCCGCAAGCCCGCGCCTAATACGTCTACGGGCGAACGGACGCGTTTGATGTGTGACCAGTCAATTAATTATATAGGGACTTCAACGATACGCTTTCGCCCTCTCCGCCCAAGCGAACAGGTCCACGCTGGGTATCTTCTCGAAGTCCGTGCAGCGTCTCAATTCGTTTCTGAAAAACCATTGCAGAATGCGACATTATGAATTAAGCGTGTAAATAAATATTAATGTGTCGTTAGTCAACTAGAAATACCGAAGCGGTTATTACCGACCTGACATTTCCATTTATTTAGATTACTATTATACTTATTTTGGAATTTTTCTACAAAATTATAAAATTATAGACATTCTGAAAAAAACTTCGGAAAGATATATAAAAAATTCTAAGAAAAATTTTTGCCAGGGTATATAATTATATTCGCTTGGCTCTTTCAATGAGTCAAAAAAAAAAAACGTTTCTATTTATTTAGATTACCTACTATTGTATTTCTAAAATTTTTCTACAAAATTATAAAATTATAGACATTCTAAAAAAATTCTAGAAAATTATATGAAGAATTTTAAGAGAAATTTTTGCCAAGATTTATAATTATATTCGTAACTAATATTTGCTTGACTCTTTCAATGAGTAAATAAAAATGTTTCTATTTATTTAGATTACTATTATATTTCTAGAATTTTTCTACAAAATTATAAAATTATAGATATTCTAAAAAAAAACTCTGAAAAATTATATAACAAATTCTAAGAAAAATTCTTGCTAGGATTTATAATTATATTCATAATTTATATTCACTTGGCACTTGAGTAAAAAAAAAGACGATATTCTAGTATTGTGTGTGAGTGGCGCCATCAGGCTCTTGAACTTACCCTGCCTGCGGCTTGAGGAACACGTTGCGCTGCATGTGCGTGATGTCATCGCCATTGTCGCAGAATATCCGCGCTAAGGTGATATTGCGCAATTGAGCCAGTTGCTCTGTGAAAAAAAAAGGGAGATAATCGATCAAACTCGAAAGTCTACAACAATATCGTCTGCAATTTGCGCAAACATATTAGATACAAAATGAGATCAATATTCATCCCTTCATACCAGGTGTAAAGGGATGCGGCTGCGTCGCGGAGTCGTAGAAGAACCTATCGGTACGCCGGGATCTGGAGAATTGCTCGTAAATTAGACAGCGGAATGTCGGGCCGATCATACCGTCGTCCGCTGGTCTCTCCGCCATACCACCCACGATAAGATCGACGTCGTTGGGATGGGAATAGATGGTACGCAGTTTTCTCATCATCTAGTATAGCCGAGCAATAATCACATATTAATAATCATCGTTCAGAAAAAAAGTCATGATAAATTAACTTATTAATTTAATTTAACATATTTCACAATTTAATTAAATTTGACTTATTAATTTAAATTTAAAACATTTTACATGTCCCGGTTCGTCCAAATTTTTGTATTAACTTAACACAAGACAAATATGTTAAAGAATTACACAAGCATTATGTACGCTATTAATACGAAATATGTAACATTTTGATTCAATTTAGAAACAAATTTCTTCACTAAATTTTAACTTAACACAAAGACAAATATGTTAAAAAGTAACACAAACGTTATGTACACAATTATTACAAAATGTAAAATTTTGATTCAATTTTATAAACTTATTTCTTCACTAAAATTAATATCTATAATATATATTAAATGTACACATACATTCATTTATCTTATAATTTATGTTTTAAGAAACTATCTTATTTTTTGTGTTATTTATTCAGTTATACTCAAATAAATTGTTATTTTAAGCACTAGAAAAGTTAAATATCAATTTAACACAAAATATTCAAATAATCACAACATATTAAATTAACACTGGGATATTAAAAATTTTATATAAAATAATATTTTAAGAAACAAGACTTCGAGCGGACTGTTTTTACGTAAGTGTATAAAATGTTCTTTATTTAGCGTAACAATATAAAAAATATAATATAAAATGCAAAAGGGGATATGCGATTCATTTCGAGCTTACCTCCGTAGGGATGAAGTCCAGGAAATCGTCAAAAGTCTTTGCGGCAGGAAGTCCGCAATATCTACGGTAATAATTGTAGCCAGGGAGGCCGTGATCGCGGCCACGTTCGATGTCCAGGCTGACGGCATCCAAGCCAAGATCGTTGCCATTGCTGGTATACAATTTGCTTGTCATCTGCAAGAGTAACGATTATGCATTAGCACGAGAGATTCCTCCCTACGAGCGTTTTTTTTTTAATACGGAGAGGAAAAAAGTACTTGACGCCTGCATGCACTTACGTCGGGAATGAGACTGATGTCCATCCTCTGGCTGGTCTGAGTGGCGAGGCCGCGGAGCAATCCGTCGAGCACCTCCTCCGATTCGATTACGCGCGGATTGAAGAAATGCTCCGCCAGCTGTAGCGTCTTGTTCTGCTGGCGGAAATTGTCCGGCAAGCTAGAAACAGGAAAGGATCGTATATTTTCTCGCTGTATATTTTCGCACGGTATAATAACTATCAATCACCGGGAGAATTTATTTCCGGCGTATAGCGCTTACCTCAGCTCTCCCTGCATCAGCGAATTCAGGAAACGCAGTGCCGCGGTGGCGGCCTCGTTGCTGACCGCCGGCTCGTCATCGGAATTGTAGCCGCGGCTGTAATTGTTCCCCGTGGCGAGACCCATGGCCCGTGTGAACCTTCTGCCCAACAGGATCGGCAGCCACTCCTTGTACGTGATGTGCTGAATCTCCGCGATCACGATGCGCCTGGCCTCCTGGTACAGAACCTCGTCCGGCCAGTCCCGGTTCAGTCTGGCAAGCTCGTCGGCGATGCGATTGTGCTCACGGTGCCAGACCGTGTGTATCACAGCTAACTGAGGATGAACGTTCACGCGATCGTCACCTGGAAGCATATATTTGTTAGAAATATTATAAAACGCTCTTCGTGACAAATATACACGGAAAGAACGATTTTGT